GGTGAGTGCCGGCCAGGAGCACCCCACAGCTCGCTTCCTCTGGAATGAGGAGGAAGGAGATTTAAGCATTTCAAGACCCTGGATCTGAGCCCATTAAAAACAAGAAATGTCTCTGGAGGCTGTTCACTGTTTGCCAAGGCAGCACTGGGGGCTGTGGACTGCAGGTGATTTCATCAGGTGACGGTCTGCCCTGCGTTTCGTTCCAGGAGAAGGGTCTGACCATTCGGGTGGGTGGCCAGCTTTTGTCCTTTCTGCAGGCTCTGGAGACCGAGAGAGGCCGAGCTTTCACTACCAGCTGCTTCGTCCTTTCTCCTTAGCGTTTGGGACCAGAGAGCAAAGGATTGATTCCACTTGGGGTGCCCTGGACTCAGGCATTTAAGAAACATTTATGAGCACCCGCTGCATGCCAGGCACTGTTCTAGGTTTTGCGGCTAGAATTGTGGAGCCATCAGAAGTCGCAGGGGACAGCAGACGGGATCAGTAGATAAATACATAAAAGTATATCGTGTGTTAGATGATGAGTGCAGGGTTGAAAATGTCAGGGAAGGAAGGCAGTAAAAAATATTGGGGGCCAGGGAAGGCTCCACGGAGAAGGAAACTAAAGACAAGAAGGGGGTGAGGGCGCCACTGCGGGGCTCTGGGGGAGAGGTGTTCCAGGCAGAAGGAACAAAGGCTCTGGGATGGCAGCACGCCTGGTCAGTCTGCAGACAGAGGGGAGGCCCCTGTGGCTGCAGAGAGTGGGCGGAGAGGGGGATGGGGTTAGGGAGGGAGGGAATTGGGTCCCACCACTCTCTGTGGATGGCCTGAAGGACTTGGGATCCTCTGAGTGAGCAGGAGCCCCGGAGAGTGTCAGGAGAGGAGACTCTGGCTGCACCATGGGGAATAAGTGACTGGAGTCCAATCAGGAAGTAATTGGCCTGATTTCAGGGAGAGAGGATGATCGCCTGGCCCACAGGGGAGGTGGCAAGGGTCCGACCGTGGATGCTTACATTGAAGAGAGAGCAACAGGCTTTGCTGATAGATTGGTTGTGGGAACTGAAAGATGGGAGGAACCGTAGCCAAGATGATTGCCCGAGTACCCAGAGGAAAGGAGAGTGGCTTTGGGAAGAGCTGGAGGGACGGTGACATCAGGGCTCGGCTGTGGGTGTGGCACTCGAGGTCTAATCGACAGCCAGATGACATCAGCGGATGTCAGGGTTGTACCAAGCCAGTGATTGCCAAATTCTAATCATTCCCTCACAATTTTCATCATATATCTGTATGCCACTTGTACTTACTTTTTAAAAATTGGCTGTAATTGTTTGTTGTTGTTTTTAAAAGAAGGATTTCTACTACCCTAAAGGAAAAGCTGAGGTTACTTGCCCTAAATAGAAGGAAACCAACCCACGCAATTAACCTAAGTCAGTGCCACCCCCTGCCTGGAGCTCCAAGCGGCCTTTCACACCACCAGGGTCCCTGGTGTTTGGTGATGTGACTCTGTGCCGCCCCACCACTGGTGTGCCTGATGAAGTCACCACTAGGTGGCCCCCTTCTGGGTCACCAAGAGACCATTCTGAGCTTAACTGAAGCCAAGAGGGGACCAAGAGCATGGGGACCTCGCTGTACTTCCTCAGGACACTGTTACCACCTCCCGTGTGACAGCAATGTTTTGTGAATGTGAAATTCAACACCCCACCTCTACTGGGTTTGAGTCTTCGCTGCCTGCCCAGCTGTGCAGCCTTAGCCAGTCATTCAGCTCCCAGGATCAGTTCCCTCTTCTGTAAAATGGACCACTGGCAGAATTAAGTGATGAGTGTCTTCAGCCCTGCCATAAGCATTCCGCCAGTGATAGTCGCCACTATTAATTGTAATGATTATTGTTGGCATAGAAGACTGCCCTCTTCCCCAGGAATAAGTTGGAGCGCTCTCAGTTCCCTACGTATACCAGAAGGTTGCAACACCCAAGCGTTCAGGGGTCAGGCAGGTAATGAGAGTGGGTGCAGGTGGCGTAAGACTGTAGGGAGTGCAGGGGAGTGTGGCAAACTGGAGAGCAGATATTCTGTGTGATGCTATTAATATCAAATTTTTAAAATCCACTCTATAAGACACCAACACACAGATCTGTGGACATCAACTGGTTTGGACTCCTGAGATATGAAAACCCAAGAGTGTAAGATAGTATTTGATGTGTTATTGTAGCTGGTGTCTGTTGAGCACATGATGTGCCAGGCACTGTGCTAGGCAGTGAACAAAGTAGGCTGAGTCCCTGCCCTTGTGGAGTGCTCTGGTGAAGGCAGCAACGTACAAATAAGTGAAATCAAAATGACTTATGTTTGAGGACAGTAACTGCTGTGGAGAGACACGGAGTGGGGAAGCAAAGTGGAGAGTGCTATGGGTTGGGGGAGGTAGTTTCAATACAGGCCAGGGAAGGACCTCTCCAAAAAGATGGTGTCTGATCAATACTTTGAAGAAGACAGAGGTAGCCCTGTGACTGGAGGAGTGGGAGCATCCTAGGCTGGGAGTATGGCTGAGACAGAGACCAGGAGGTGGGAGGGCAGCCAGTGTGCAATCCTGGGACCTCAAGGGCAAGACCTTGGTGCCTTGATTGGTGGTAAAAATTGAAAGTAGAAGCAGCTGATTGGTGAGCAGAGGGCCCTCCCCAGATCCCCAGGAGGCTGTGGTGGGTCTGATGTGTGTTTTCAGGTCTCTAGGGGGTTGCTAGGTGAGTGGGATCACAGCCTTCACATGCCTGGTAGACCCTGTTTTGGTTTCCCACTGCTGTCCTAACAAATCACAAACTGAGTGGCTTAAAACAACAGAAATGTACTCTCTCAACAGTTCTGGAGGCCGGAAGTCCGAAATCAAAGTGTTAGCATGGCTGTGCTTCCTCAAAAGGCTCTAGGGGAGAGCCCTTCGTTGCCTCTTCCAGCCCTGGGACCCTAGGAGTTCCTTGTTCCTTGGCTTGTATGCGCATCCCTCCAGTCTCTGCCTCCCTTTGAATGTGGCCTTCCCCTCTGTGCCTGTGTGTCTTCTCCACTTTGTGTCCTATGTGGACACTTGTCACTGGATTTAGGGCCCACCCGGGGAATCCAGAACAAATCTCACCTCAGTATCCTCAATTTAATTACATCTGCAAAGACCCCCTGTATTAGTCTGTCTTCATGCTGCTGATAAAGACATACCTGAGACTGGGTAATTTAGAAAGAAAAAGAGGTTTAATGGACTCAGTTCCATGTGACTGGGGAGGCCTCAGGATCATGGCAGAAGGTGAAAGGCACATCTTACATGGTGGCAAGCAAGAGAGAATGAGAACCAAGCAGAAGGGAAAACCTTTATAAAACCATCAGATCTCGTGAGACTTATTCACTACCAAGAGAACAGTATGGGAAAAACCACCCCCATGATTCAGTTGTCTCCCATCAGATCGCTCTCACAACATGTGGGAATTATGGGAGCCACAATTCAAGATGAGATTTGGGTGGGGACACAGCCAAAATATGGTCATGTTCACAGCCTCCAGAAATTAGGACATGGTCTTATCTTTAGGGGACGGGGGGCACCATTCAACCTGCTGCACACCTTAAGAACTGCAAGGAAAAGGGGAAAATCCAGGGATGGCCATAGAAGGAAGAGAGAGGATTTCCATGGAATGTTTCCATCAAATCACTAAAGGTCTGGGCACCAACCACAGCATACAATTGAGCATGCACTTGTCACATCTATGTTGAGTACCCACTGTGTGTCACACGGCAGCAGTGCTGAGGATTCAGCACTGAGTGGAGTGCACGGCCTTTGCCCTCCCGGGACCATGGCCTGCACACAGTAGGGCTCCCACACACGTTCATTTGCTTCCTTCCTTCCTTCTTTCCTTTCTTCCTAAGTGTCTTGCTCTGCTTACAGCTTGGTTGAGAAACAAGAGCAGGCATGGCCAGACAAGGTGGTTCATGACTGTAATCCCAGCACTTTGGGAGGCAGAGGCAGGCAGATCACTTGAGGTCAGGAGTTCAAGACCAGCCTGGCCAACATGGCGAAACCTAGTCTCTACTAAAAATACAGAAATTAGCTGGGTATGGGGGCTACTTGGGAGACCGAGGCAGGAGAATCTCTTGAATCTGAGAAGCAGAGATTGCAGTGAGCTGAGATCATACCACTTCACTCCAGCCTGGGCAACAGAGCAAGACACTGTCTCAAAAAAAAAATAAAAAAGAAAAGAAAACAAAGAAGAGCAGACATGACCGAAACCTCAAAGCCTGGGGTATGATCAGTACTTAGGACACATGCTGCAAGAGTGCTCAGAGCTCTCAAGCCCCGGCAGCCAGGGTGGCGCCAGAGGCTCCTTACGAGAGGCCGATGGTTTGGATTTGGGGTGAGGGTTGATGGGTTCCAGGCTCGAAGAAACGTGTGGACAAGAGGCCAGCAGGGTTTGTGGCTGATGGCAGGGCACCCCAGCCAGGGAATACTCAGGGAGAAGGTTTGCCACCAGGTTGGCATGACCAGATTTCAATAAGAGCAAACAATTCTTGGGAAGGTTCCAAAGAAAACAAAGTATAATCTTCCCTCAATTTACATGGTGGTTGGTTTCCGAAAGAAAAAACAAAACAAAAACAATGTTCTGTTTAAAATTTGTAAAACAGTTTGATTCCAGTCTCAGGTCATTTATAAACAGGTTTTTACCTGCCCTGCAGGTAGAGATGCAATTACAGTATGGGACAGTGACAGTACAGGCGCTTACAGTCACGCACCTCCAGCACCATTGCAAAATCCTCCAGACTCCAGACCTGGACCGCAGGAGTGTCCAGGCAGACTCAGGACCCAGGGTCCTCCCTGATGGTGCCGGTCGGTCCCACCGTGCAGCAGTGGCCCCTGTCCACAAATGCCACCAGTGGCCCCTGCCCCGTCTGCCCCGTAGGTCTGCAGAATGTGCCCGCTCCAGACCTAGGGATGCCACGGTGAGAGTCCCCCCAGTGCCGGTGCCCCCCGGGTCTCCTGCCCTGCGCCTCACTTCCACCTTCACCTTGCAGGTTCCATGCAGGTGATGAACAAGACCCGGCGCATCATGGAGCAGGGCGGGGCGCACTTCATCAACGCTTTCGTGACCACGCCTATGTGCTGCCCCTCACGCTCCTCCATCCTCACTGGCAAGTACGTCCATAACCACAACACCTACACCAACAACGAGAACTGCTCCTCGCCCTCCTGGCAGGCGCAGCACGAGAGCCGCACCTTCGCCGTGTACCTCAATAGCACTGGCTACCGGACAGGTGAGCAGGGACGGGGGTGGGTGCAGGAAGGGAGTGACAGCCGAGGCGGGCATCCCTGGGTGTGGTCCGTGCGCCACTGTGGTACCCGAGATGATTCTGGATAGCCCCTAGAGCAACTCTCTTATAATTTCAGAGTTGTGCATTTATTTCTGTGTGTATTAGAGAAATATAGATGTATTTGCCTACAGTAGTGATGCAAAGTGACCTTGTCAAAGGAATTTGAGTTCCCCCCCCAAAAAAGTGAGTCTTTTCAAAATATGAATTACAGTGCAGAGAGGCCAGAAGGTGCCCATGCATGGGTTTGCATCCTCTGTTTATTGTTATTAAAGCACATCAGGGACTGTTGTGTTGACTTCAAACCATCAGCTTGAAAGAAGGTTCCAAAACATGGGGGTGGGGGATGGGAATTCGTGGAGGGCAACAGATATGGGGCTGTGTGGTTGCTCTCTACATGGCGGTAACCAAGGTGGTGCAGAAGCTGACATGGCGGTTGACTGTCCACACTCACCCGGTAAGTGTCGTCCTCGGTGGAGGGTGACCTGGTTCCTGTTTGCTTATCCTGCAGGAGGTCTCTGGTGGGCTCTGAAGGCTCACCTGCCAGGCTGGTTGTCTGAGATAGAGATGCAATTACAGTATAGTCACTTACCTCCAGCGCTATTGCAAAACCCTCCAGACTCAATTAATTTAACTTGCTTTAATTAAAAATAAATAAATACTCCCCACCTTGGGTAAGAAGCTGCGGCAGTTGTGAAATCAGATACTGTGGTTCCGATGTTGCAACCCCAGGAAGTTGCATCCAAGTGACAAGGGGTTTGTTTGGGTGGGAGTGCCGCAAGGGAAGGATGGACGCCTCCTTCAGCCCTGTTCACAGCCCTGAACCTGCAGCCCTCGAGGCTGGGCAGCTACCTCTCAGATACCCATTGTGGGCTGGCAGGGATGCTTTGGGGTGGGGAGCAAGCCAGTAAGGTGTGTCTTCTTACAGCCTCATCCCACAGCCAGAATCACCTAGAAAGTATGTTCTGCTGAGAACTAGGAAGGCCTCGTTCCTATACCTTGTTCCTGTATATCGTGCGTGCCATTGTGCAGAATCAACCACCTGTTGGTTCCCCTGAGCGTCTGCACAAAGCCACATGTGTCAGAGGTTACCATGGCCACCACCCTAGATGGTTGGAGGGCCTGGATATTGCTAGCAGAAGCAGGGCAGGCAGGCCCGCAGCAGAGCACTGGGCCCTTATTGAAGATGCACCTGCAACTTGGGTCCAGAAAGTACAGCCATGCACTCAAGAGTGACAACCTTGAAATGTTTTAAAGTCTGAATATTTCACTGAAAATATTATTTTAAAAGATGCCGGCACAACTTACTTTCTGTTTAATGTATACTGGGGGCCAAAAAAAGTATGTCTGAGGGGTGAGTGTGTGGCTCACAGACTCTCTTTCCACAACCTCTGGGTGAAAGGTCTATAAAGAAACCTTTCGTTCTGGATGCCGGAAGATCAGTAAAGACCCTAAACCTGTTCTCATCAATCCCCCTCATTTCACAGCCAGGGCCACTGCGGCCCAAAAAAGAGACCGGCCCAGAGGTGAAGTGTTTGTGGCATAATTAAAATGGAATGCAAGATCGTGGGAACTCAGAGGGGGCATGGAAAGCGTATTCATCAGACTGAAAGGAAGCTCACATGTTCTGTGACATTCTGAGGGCCAAGGGTGGGAGCTTAAGGCTAGTGTTCCAAAATCTCACAGACAACATGAGAAAACAAACCATCTGAAGAATAAACATTCTCTAAAGTGGATTTCCCAAACTTGTCCTTGAATGTACGCAAGTCACCAAAAAGCTGTCTCCCTACAGAAGTGCTTTGATTCAACTGTGCTTCATTATTATACCCTCATGAAGACTGGGAGCATAATGTCAAGTGTAAAGAGCCAGACACAGAGAACACTTACATGTTTGTAAAACTGCCACTGAGAATTTTATTCATTATATTTAGAATGCCACTCTGTACAAGGAATCCCATTGCAGCCTTACTTTCAGAACTCAGGACCCTGAAAGCACTGTTTAGTCTGATGAACTGGTGTACTCCTGGTTATTAAATAATACGAGCCACATACCCTGTATACTTTCCCTCTTTGCCTTGGCAGCTAGGAAGCTCAAGTTTGAGTTTTATATTGTTTAAAGTGGAAATATTTTAAAGATCCAACTGTATAATATGTCATACTGATTAGTGTTGACTAAGAAAAATGACAAAAAATCTATAACGACTTCAAAACCTTCTAGATTATTTTTTTCCTTTTAGATTGATCTGTACATACATATTAGAATATATTGTAAATTTTTAATCCCTCAGGGACCAAAAATAAATTGTTCCTGCTGAGTCTTCAGCCATATTAAACCCTGTGTTCATGTGGCCACCTGGCACAGTTGGTTCAGTTGGATTTAAGTTTGGCCATGTGTGTGAGAGACCGGGAATGTCAAATAAAATTCCAAGTTCTGGTGGCCCTGATCTATGAAGTGGTCAGAGACTCAGACTCCCTTTCTCCTTATTTCCCATTGGTGAGAAGCAAGTCACATGGCCATGCATGGCTGCGAGGGGGCCCGCGAAATGTAGTCTTATTCTAGGTGGACATTTACCCAGATGAAAATTATTTTACTGTGGGAGAAGCAGCAAATGGATACTGAAGGACAAGTAAAGTCTAGGCCACCCTAACGGTTATTAGACATTTGTGTTTGTGATAGTCGTTTGAATAGAGGAGATGAGCCCAAACTAAGGAAGACTGACCCCAGAAAAATGCTACTTAAGTGGACCCACATTTCATAATAAATAGTGCTTTTAATGTACTTAGTAAGGTATTTGATCTAGAAATGAAACTACGATATTTCAAGAATAATTCTGTTATGTTATGTCTCTTTTTTTCTTTTTTTAAAACAGAGTCTTGCTCTGTCACCCAGGCTGGAGTGCAGTGGCACAATCTCAGCTCACTGCAGCTTCCGCCTCCTGGGTTCAAGTGATTATCCTGTCTCAGCCTCCTGAATAGCTGGGATTACAGACGCCTGCCACCACACCTGACTAATTTTTGTATTTTTTATAGAGATGGGGTTTTGCCATGTTGGCCAAGCTGGTCTCAAATTCCTGGCCTCAAGTGATCCACTTGCCTTGGCCTCCCAAAGTGCTGGGATTACATGCGTGAGCCAACGCACCCAGCCCTCTGTTAGATTGTATCTAATGATATTTAACAAAGATTGGGCTCTAGCTGTAACTAATGAGTTGATTCTTTAAGCAAGTGAATTGATGAAGTGTAGGGAGGAATATAATGTGTTTCACAAATTTAAATGGATGGCACAAGATGATATCCTTTACTTCACCAGGGACATTTTTGCAAAAGTATTTGAGATTTGATCAGTTTTTCCAAGGGCCTCTCCTAATTCTTTGACATCTGAATCTTCCCCTATGAAGTGCATCTCATACTTCATCATCCTTCTCAATAGTCTCTTCTACTTCATGTAGTATCTTTATAGACCAGGTAATTATTCGTCAGTGGATTTGCATGTGTTTTTTGAGCTATCTTCCAGCATCATCTTAATTAATTTCACAAACCCTGCATCTTTTAAAAGATTTGCAATTTCATTTTGCAGTGATCTTGCTTTGCATGGCCCCATGTTTGCAATGGAGATTGACAAAGGACAAAATGAGAGAAGCTAAGTTTAAGCAGGATAAATATCAATTTGTTCATGAATATTTCTCTGTATGGCTTCTTACAACTTGGGGGATTGGATCTCAGATATGAATACCCTTGGAAGGATCAATTTCATCCTCAGGTTTTTTTGTTTGTTTGTTTGTTTTTGAGACAAGGTCTCACTCTATTGCCCAGGCTGGAGTGCAGTGGCACAATCTTAGCTCACTGCAACCTCCACCTCCTGAGTTCAAGCTATTCTTCTGCCTCAGCCTCCCCAGTAACCAGGATTACAAGCGCACGCCACCACGCCCAGCTAATTTTTTGTATTTTTAATAGAGACGGAGTTTCACCATGTTGGCCAGGCTGGTCTCGAACTCCTGACCTCAAGCAATCCACCCTCCTCAGCCTCCCAAAGTGCTAGGATTACAGGTGTGAGCCACCATGCCCGGCCACATCCTCAGTTTTTACAAAGGTTTTATAGTCATCCTTTAACACAGTTCAGCAGTTGAAGTGCCGTTGCCCTGCCTGTGATCACATATACACGCAAGTCAAAGTTATACAGTGTTCCCAGAATGAGACACCTCCCAGCTCTCTGCAGAGTGGTTGAGGACATTAGCTTTGCCTGGGTTCGAATCCAGTCTCTGCTGCTTTCTGGCTGCATGAACTTGGACAAGTTATTTAGCCTCTGTGTCTTGGCCACCTCAGCCACAGTTAATAGTGTCACTTAACTCATGGAGTTTTGTGAAGATGAAATATATTAGAACAGTGTCTGGTACAGGGTCATGGTAGGCGCTTGAGAAATTTAGCAATGATGGTTGGGCGCGGTGGCTCGCACCTGTCATCCCAGCACTTTGGGAAGCCAAGGTGGAAGGATGACCTGAGGCCAGGAGTTCGAGACCAGCTTGGGCAAAACAGCGAGATCCCATCTCAATTTCTAAAAAGCAACAATAAAAAAAAATTTAGCAATGACGATGACGATTTGCACAATCACACAGCCCACCTCAGGCCAAAGCCCACCTCAGGCCAATGTTCTGATTAATGTCACAATAAGTTGCGCTCACGGGTCAACATGTGGCAGCATGTGTTCAACCTCTCTGGTAATCAGCAAAATGCAAATGCAGCCAACAGTGCATGATCACATCCCAGCCATGAGCACGGCAGATACAAAGAGACCCCATCGCACCACATGTTGGTGAGAATGTAGGAAAACAGGAAATCACATGCACTTAGCAGTAGGATGGCAAATTGTTCCCTCCACTTTGAAGAGCAGTTTGCCAATTTCTGGCAAAACTGATAATGGGCATCTCCTTCCACTCAGCAATTCTACTGTA